GCAGAGTCTTGGGTTGCATCTTGGACTGATGCCCAGACGCTATCGGCGAGGAGCGATATTAAGGGCTCGGAGGGGAGGGCCACCAAGCATTGTGGCTTTGGTCCGAGTTTCTCCCCCATTCTAGAATCTATGTGATCTACGACTGTCCTTCTCTGTCAAAAAGTAGAACCGCTTCGGATGAAGATCGAAAGATGATCACGATTGACATCTGCAGTGATTGACCGCTGCAGTCTGACTGTTGAACGGCTGATCCGCATGAACCGCAAGAGGGTCCACGGGGTCCACCTAGATAAGAACAGAAGTCCTGTGCATGAAAGATGTCTATCTACCTAAATTATTACCCCTCTATCAAAGCGTCTTCTAGCGCCGCCAAGGGTGCTGCCCAGAGAAACCAGATTCTCGTCAGGCAAGTCGGAGCCTATCGGATGCTCTCGCCTCGGGTCACGCTTCATGAAGACACCGCCAGGCCCTCTTCCAGAACCCTCCGAAGACTGGTATCGACAGGGGGGGAATCTTGATCATGGCGCCATTTGCGACGCTGATTGCTGTTATCAGAGGCGGTTCGACTCGGCCACAGCCTGCATAGCATGCACCTAGAAGTCACGGCGCGAGGTCCCAAGGCTCGCTACTGGGTGAACCCTCGAATAGCTTCATTTATTCCTAGAATGACAGGTTAACTTGGCGTCTGCGAGACGGCTCACGATACTACCTTCTGTTTTGGTCGATGTCTCCGAAGTCCAAGATGCCCAGCATCTTCAGGGAACGAGAGTATCTTGCTCTGAACAATGTTGGTAGACGAGATAGACAGGGGCGTAGAGCCAAACTATAAGAACCTCGTGAGTCCCCGACGAATCCGTATCTATCCTCATCATCCAGCATCTCATCAAGCATCAGTTATCAAGAGCTCAATTGACCTTCTTCACCATGCGCTTCCTCACCCCCGTTGCCCTTCTGGCCTTGCTGCAAGGCATCACGGCCTCCCCTGTTGATGTCAAGCGCAACTCGCCTGGCCTTGAGGTCACCCTCTCCCAGGTCAACAACACCCAGATCAAGGCCGTCGTCAAGAACAACGGCGCCGAGGAGGTCAAGTTCGTCCACCTGAACTTCTTCCAGGACAGCTCGCCCGTCAAGAAGGTCTCCCTGTTCAAGGATGGTCCGTCTCTAGATCCCCATAGCACCTCAGCACATTCCAACTGACAGGAAAAATAGACTCCGAACTCGACTTCACCGGTATCAAGTACAGCCTCCGTACCTCCGGCCTGACCGAGGACGCCCTCACCACCCTCGCCCCCGGCGCCGAGCTCGAAGACTTCTTCGACATCGCCACAACCAGCGACCTCTCCTCCGGCGGCGCCATCAAGCTCCGCTCCGAGGGCAGCGTCCCCCTGGTGACGGGCAGCGACATCACCGGCAGCCTCCCCTTCAGCTCCAACGAGCTCGAGATCGAAGTCGACGGCGCCGAAGCCGCCAAGGTGCACAGCGCCATGCACGCCCTGCACAAGCGCACTCGCATCGCCAGCTGCTCCGGCTCGCAGGGCTCGGCCCTCCAAACCGCCCTCCGCAACACCGTGACCGTGGCCAACCGCGCCGCCTCCGCCGCCTCCTCCGGCCACGCCCTCTTCAACACCTTCTTCAAGACCACCTCCAGCTCCGCCCGCAGCAGCGTCGCCGCCCGCTTCCAGGCCATCGCCCGCGAGGCCTCCACCACCTCCTCCGGCGCCACCACGTACTACTGCCAGGACGTCTACGGATACTGCTCCTCCAATGTCCTCGCCTGGACCCTGCCCGCCTACGACATCATCGCCAACTGCCCGATGTACTATAGCTACTTGCCTGCCGTCACCAGCACCTGCTGGGGCCAGGACCAGTGGAGCACGACCCTGCATGAGTTTACTCATGCCCCTGGCGTCTACAGCCCCTCCACCCAAGACTATGCTTATGGCTACGCCGCTTCCACTGCTCTGAGCTCTTCTCAGGCTCTCAACAATGCGGACTCTTACACTTTGTTCGCTAGCGGTAGGTTTCATGCAGTTATTCCCTTCTTTGAAAATATCTCTTGCTAACGAGGTTAGGTGTCTACTTCGGCTGCTAAATGTGGCTCTGCGAGATTCTTACGAACGTAAGAGGTGGACCATACGGTTCTGATGATTGTTATGAGGGGATGTGATGGAAGTACTGCACAATCCGAAAGAAGCTGGACATACTTTTTCTTCTTCCGCATGTACATAGTGCTCTTTGATGGAGATGTTGTCTAAGCCCAGCCCTGGGGTTGAGGTTAGGATAGCATGGTATAAACATATATGCTTTTTGCAATACTTCCTTCCATTGTCAGATCGTAAATCATGCACGCTGGAAAGATTCAGAGTAATCAATCGCCTGGATGTGACTTGCCTCTGCCCCTCTTAGAAGGAATTATAATTTATTTCACTCTTAAATCTGCATTGTCTATACCCTAATAGCCCTTAAGGTCCTTCTGCTTGTGGGCCGCAATAGCAACGCTATCATACTGAAGGTCTCCGGATGATGGCGTGCTTGCTCCGGCCCAGATTATACCCCTTTTCTTCTGGACATTTTATTTAGCTGCCAGATTCTACCATTCTTATGTCAGTGTAGATAGCTGGATTGTGGATTTCGAAGTGATATAGCTTGAGGATAGTCAAGTTCAGTCCTAAATAGCAAGGAGATAACGAGATATATATATCCGGTCTGCGACCATGGTTATCCTTACTCCCCGGGGAATAGTCTTTCATCGTGATCTATTCTGTAACTGCCCCTGTTATCGAGCAGTTAGCTCAGCAGAATATATCTGGACAATGAAGACCAGCCATCTGAGTGTCTGTATTGAGTGGAATGCTGAGGGCATGGCATAGTCACCTGCCAGTAAATACAGGTGTATAATCTGCATAAGGTGCATAACATGTGCATTAGGTCTCATACACGTGCCGACTGCCTTTTTCAGAAATGGCATTGTTGAACTCCAAAGTTCCTCCGACAACCGACAATCAACTGGGCTCTACAAGCATCATCCTCTCTCTAGTCTAGGCTCGCTGTGGATAGATCTCTCCAGGTCTGTTCGAGATGGCCCCAGCTCTACAACATGACGAGTTCCGCAATAGCAAGGCCCAGCGCTCATCCCATCGCAAACGCCCTCGCGACGACGCAGAGGAAGCAGATGTTCCTCGCTACATGCAGTGCCAGTCTCGCGGTGTGAAATGTGACCGCCAACACTCCAACGGTTTACGACCTTGATCATGCCCGAAACATACTTAGAAACTGGGACCAAGCATAGTACAGTCTGGATAGCTATTCCGAGCCATGCGTAGAGAACCTGCAAGCTCTACTTACTCTGGTTGGTACCCATCGACTACCCAACAGAAGCCTTTCTAACAGCCCTAGGCTCTTGTATGTCAGGAGTACTACCCCTTAAGTGTCTCCTCATGCGTCACTCAGAAAGCTATCGGACTCTTGCGCAATATAGGCCTGCACCAAAAGCCCGCCCCTTACCTTAACTCGTGGGAAAATCTTTCCGCGGCCGAGCGGCTTGCCTGGGTCACCTACACTCTTGACAAACGCTTCAGCTTTCTTACCGGCCGTTCAGTCGAACTTCGCCTGTCCGACTTCAGTCTCCCATTATACGCTCTTGGTGAGACGACGCCGACACAACAACATCTCAACGCGGCCCTGACCCGCCTTTCCATCATCTGGGAAGACATATCCGCCACGCTGTACTCCCTGCGAGCCACGACTGCGGAGTCATATAACCGCTTTGGTCAACTCAGCGACATCACCCGCAAACTGGTCTTCTGGAAAGAAACATATAGCTCCAACCTGGGCGAGAAGTTGCGTTGGCGAGCGTATCATCTGAGACACTCTCAAACCGAAGTCCTCTATGCTTTCGAAGTCACCCAGCTTCTCGTCCACCGCTGCGACGACGAGCGATCTCGAGAGGAAGGGCTCCGGGACACCGCACGTTCTGCTCTGCAACTCCTCAAGAATCTCGGAAACTCCTGGGGGGACCACCTTGCCCGCGCTTTTCGGGACTACCCCCTGGTCGCATTCCACGATCTCTTCCTCTACATCCTGACGGCCAACAACCCCGACATTGAGGAAGATGTCGAACTTCTACACGAAACACGCCGCCTTCTCGACCGCGTGCAGAATCCCGATTTTCCCGAGACGTACTTGAATAAGCTCTATGCGGGCGTTAGCTGGTGCACAGATCAGCTGAAAATGATGCAGGAGGGTCTAGAGATGAAGGAAAGGCAGCCTTCGCCTGAGACCGGCTCCGCCACCGTGCGGCACGAGAAAGACCCTAGAGTGGTGTTAGGGGCACTGCGCAATCCGGACTACGGGCTCGATTACGAACTTCCGCTATCTGAAATGTTCTACGACGCCGTACTTTTTGACTCTCCTGATGGGACGACGGAAGCAACGTTGTGGAATGGGGCGTAGATTTTGCGTGATTTGTCCCTATGTTGTTTCTGTACGTGTATAATATCCTCGCTTTAAGTTTCTATATAGCTAGACCGGTTTTAGATACCCCTATAGAACTGTCACTCTGTGCCATGTTGGGACACCGTTGGTCCTTCCAGCCACATATTAATGTCTATCTTATATACTATTATCCAGACCCTGAGCATGATGTAGAACTGGACGAAGCACCCTACCTTATGCGCCATACATCCTTCGGCCTTGTATCCGACAAATACCTTTCCTTTGAGGCCTACGCAGCAAGTACGCACAATTCTCACTCCAGCTAAGACAATGCCCAACAACATATGGAAGTTCTAATACACGTCGAATATATCCAAATTTTTTTATGTGCATACATCCCAAAACGAATAAGTAGCTGCCCCTACCTGGCACACCGCACCTCCTCGGGCGATGAATGCGTGGATGTCAATACTTGAACATGGGCATAGACCAGGCTGCCGGGCCAGGATGCATGTTCAGTCAAGAACGGATATCAGAGAATCAAGCAGCTTATTGAGCAACAGTCCGCCCCTATAGATCAGTGGTAGATCGTTTCACTTGTAATGAAAAGGTCCGTCGTTCAATCCGGCGTGGGGGCAATTCCTTTTTTTGTTGTGCGGGTTATTTTTGCGTAGCAGTGTGGGTGCTAGGCCAATTTTTTCTAAGCCGCAAATGGCTACCTTGGGTCGAAGGCGATGCCTGGCTGATAGTGCATAGTTTGGATAGATTTATCACCCTGTTGCCCCTATAGATCAGTGGTAGATCGTTTCACTTGTATCCTGTACGAGTTATGAAAAGGTCCGTCGTTCAATCCAGCGTGGGGGCATATATTTTTTTCGATTTTTTTTGCCTCGATATTTGTTCATTCTTCTGCCCGTAGTACTTATCAAATCGAACTGTGCCGATGTATCTAGGGTATTATGGAGGTGCTCAAAGACCCAGCTCTCTACAGCCTAGCGATCCTGGAGTTGCAGTATATGGCATGGCTACCATCGTTCTTAGCTACAACACGATAATGACCCGAACCTCGGATGCAACCTGCAGAATGTAGGTAGGTATATGCATAAATATGATACGCTAGGCGCGGCAGATACCATCCAACCTAGTGGCTCAGCTGAATGATCGGATAAGTCGTCGCTCAGGTCTAGATCGCCATGTTTGGCATACGTTGTGTCGATGGACTGACTCGCTTCAGGATTCGAAGTTTTGACCCAGGGAATTGGTTTGACCAGCATCTCGATGTAAACTTCGCGGTTGCATACCATTACAGTTATGACAGGTGTGTCACGGATGGGAGTTGACTACCTAGAGGGCGGATTTGAAGTGGCTGTTACCTCTGCTGGAGGGATGGGATGCCGTCTGAGCGGTCCATCTTCCACCACGACAAAGTAGAGACCTTAGCGTAGGCACCTACATTATTAGAACTTTCTGAGTCAAGCTGGGCTCGTCTTCAATGTCTCTGATGGGGGGGCGAGAGAGAGTGGAGGAATGATTAGGTCGGGCGGCAGA